TATTTTTGTACTGAGTTCATATATCTCTTTATTAATCGTGTTCTCTGTTTCACTTTGGTGTTTATACAGTGCTTCTATGGTTTCCTTTATTTCTTCTTTTGCTTTTTCAAATTCTCTATTTTTGTTGTCTTGGAATTTCTTGAGTGTCTCCTGTACATTTTGGTTGACCCTATCCAGTATCATGTGTATAAAATTCTCATTGAGTACCTGTAGTATGTCTTCTTTTAAATTATTCTTGTGGGCTTCATTGGGTTCGTTGGCATAGTTTATCTCATTTTGTTGGAGTCTGGATCTGAGTATCTGTTTTTTTCATTTCCCTTGGTTCCTGTACTAATTTTTTGCTTTGGGGAAACTGGTTTCCCTGTTTTTTCTGTCTTCCTGTCATTGCCTTTGGTGTTGTTACTGTCCCTGTACTGTGTGCAATTAAGTATTTTCTGGCTTGTAATAACAGCACTAGTGATATTTAGAATGGAAGGGTGAGAGGAGATGGAAAGCAAAGAAGTTAAAGGAAAAGAGAGAAACAAATAATCAAGTAAAAAAAAAAACAAAACAAAGAAACAAAAAAGTTTCAAAGATATAAATCAACTGTAAGCTGAAAAGGCATTAGAGAGACAGTGAGAGGACTGAAAATCAAAAATAAAAAGAATAGAGATAAGAATAAAAATTAAAAAATAAGTAAATGAAAGGAAAACATATATACATAAAAAAGTAAAACAAAATAAAACAAAATAAAAAATAAAAACCTCCAAGTTCAAATGCAATGAAGTTTCAGTCTTAATAATTTTGGTGTTCGTCCCTCAGCCTCCAATGCTGGAGATGGTGTCTCAGATGTTGTTCTGTGTTGTCTCATCAAAGGGGAAGCATAAAGTAGAACAAAACTGCACCCCCCAAAAAAAAAACCCACAAAGTGTCCCAAGTTCAAATGCAATACAGTTTCAGTGTGTTTTTTAGCATGCAGTTGTAGTTTGGTTGTTTTCTTATCAGTGATAGGAAGAGAGAAAAAAAGAGTCTGGAGACAGGTCTGTGAATGGCTATCTGCAGCTGTGGCTTGCCTGGCTGCTGCTATTAGCCTGCTGTTGCTGGTGGCGTTATTTATGCCGATCTCTGGGGTGAGTTTAGCACTCACCTGGCCCTGCAGGCTTTGTTTACTCAGAGTTCTGTGCACAAGTCTCTGCTACAAGCTTTCCCCTTCCAAGCACACTGGGGAGGTGACACTGCACCCGCTTTTACAGGCCTGCGTGTTTATTTACAGTTCACTGGGAAGTGGGTCTTCTCCCCCTTCCTGTGGAGTTTTCCTCCCACCGCTGCTTTTTCAAGTTTTCCTGCTCTTGCTTGCTGGGCATGTGCTGCTGCTCCTGCTGGCCGAGTGTTTGTTTACAGCTCATGTGGGAGGTGGGTCTCCCCCCTCTCCTGTGGAGTTTTCCTCCCTCTGCCACTCTCACAAGCTTTCCCGCTCTTGGTTGCTGGGCATGTGCCGCTGTTCCCACCATCTCCGGCCAGGCCCAGCTTGTTTATTTATAGTTCCAGGAGGGATTCCCTCCCCCCCCGACCCCGCTTCGGCACTTAGGGTGCCCCACCCTCTTTGCTACGTGCCTTTATTGTTCTTATTGCTTATTACTCAGTTTCTCTTTTTTTCCTTGGGTGGGGGTCGGTCTGTCCAGGGGGCTATGCTGATCTGGCCCAGGGTTGTCAGTGTGAGTACCGCATACCACTTAGCTCACCTTATACGTGGGCGTCTGGTGGCCTGGGGGCCCTCCTGGTTTCTCCATTCAACGTGATGTGGAGATGCTTTGTGCAGGCTGGAGGTATGGAGGGGTCAACGTATTGCCTCTTCTCAGTGGCTTTGCCTGCAAGGTGTGTTTCCTGTGTCTCTTCATGGTTTCACTTTAGGAGTCACGCTTTCTGCTTCCTCCCTGTAGCCGCCATCTTGGAATCTCCTTGGCAAAGCAAAATGGTACATTTGGGAAAACAATTCGACAACTTTTTATTACATTAAGAATGCGCTTACCAGTCTGGGGGTGTAGCTCAGTTGTAGAGCATTTGTATGGTATGCGTGAAACCCTGGGTTTATTCCCCAGCACCACAAAGGAAAAATATATATACACTTACCAAAGGGATTATTGGGGCCACGCCTATGTATTTCCCAAGAGAAATATAAACTTTCTGTCCATACACAGACTTGCACTAAAATATGCACAGAGCTTTATTCTTAATATCCAAAAAACTGGAAGGGACCCCAAATGTCTGTCAACTGGTATGCTAATAATTAAATTGTTAAAGGGAACATGCTATTGATACACCTATCAATATGGGTGAAACTCAGAAGCATCAGGCTAAGTCAAAGATGAGACACAAAAGACCACATATAGTGGTCATAGACACATATAGTGGTCATATGTGTCATTCCATTCATAAGAATTCTGTAAATGGAAAAATTTAAAGTGATAGAAGGAGATCATGAGTTGCCTGGGGCCAAAAGGTCTTGGTAGGAATTGACTGCAGAAGGGCAGGTGGGAATTTTTGGTGCTAATGTAATGCTTCTAAGTCATGATTATAGTAGTGATCACTTCAGGAAGGCTGACTTTAAAAAAAAAAAGAAACAGGTGAGGGGACAATTTCTTGGTCACCAAATCTTTGCAAAATTTTTTGGCCCTCAGACCTACCATATCGAATTGCCTGGAGCTCTCTTGCAACTTTAGTTTTAACTTTCTTATTTAGTGTCTTGCTTCCCTGTTGCTGTTCTCCTTCATTTTTTCTACTAAGAAGTATTATTGAAAAAACAGCTATTAGAGGTGTGGTTCAAATGGTAGAGAACTTGCTAGCAAGGACAAGGCACTGAGTTGAATCCCTATTACTACAACACACACACACACACACACACACACACACACACACACACACACACACACAGAAATAAATTTTAAAAAGGAGGTGGGGGAGTTGGAGGAAGAGGAAGAACAGCTGTTTATGGTCTCATTCTAGGATGAGTACTTTGTGTCTTCAAAACTAATACATTAAATAAAACCATGTTGATATATTAAAGACCTTAGTGGAAAAATAGTTTTATTAATAAGCCCTAAATTTTTAAGAGTCTAGACAAGCTGCCTTTTCTGAAGATAACTTTCTCTCTCCCGCACGTGATAGAAAGATATTTCTGAAGATTAAGGACTACACTTTCAGTGCTAACTTAATCTCTGGGGAAAGTCTAAGAAAGCTGTATTTTAAATAACTTTGTACTTACTTTATTGATATAAATCAGGCTTACAACCTATGGATCAAATCCCTACTGATCCTATCACTTAAAAATAAATAAAAATTCCTTTCCATACCTTTATTCAGACTTCACTAAGGTACATATATATAGGCTTACTAAAAAGTCTTTGCAAGAATCTTTTTTTATACATTTTATATACTGCCTGTCATTATCTCAGTTGGCCTTTTCACCTCTCTACAGAAAACATGAGATAAGAGGGAGTTAAGATTTTGTTTGTTTGTTGAGACAGTGTCACTGTGTAGCCTAGGATGGCCTCAAACTTATAACCCTGCTTCAGCCTCCTGAGTGCTAGGATTATAGACATGCAACAACATACACAGTAAGAGTTTTGTTAAAAGCCTACTACTGTGTGCCAGATATTTCACAAGGGATCACATTTAATCCTCATAGGTGATAAAAAAAATGAGGTTCACAAATGATAAGTCCAAGGACATGGCTTTAAGTGGCTGGAGTTTGTATACTTGACTTTAAAACAAGGGTGCTGTGGTTTGTACTGTGATATCTCTAGGCATACAGAGCAAATAAGGGCTATACTTAGTCATTTCTACTCACTCATTGACTCCTAAATTTCTCTGTCTCTTCATTCCTGGCCATAAGCAGAATGATAAAAATCTACTGGCACATTATATTTCCATTTTAACAAGATCCTGACCAGCTTTTTCTAATCAGTTTTTCAATACTTTAAGTCATTTGCTTGCCTTCTACAAGTGAAATTACTGGCTGTTTTTTTTTTTTAACTACTTGATTTATAACCAAAATCCAATTACTAGCCATTCTTAGTTTTGATCAAATACAATTTCAAATATGCAACTTTTGAGTTACTCTAAAGAGTAACTTTATTTGTATTAGAAACTTTTTCTCTAAAAAGATGTTATAACTTCTTTGGCCTCAGTTTCCTTTCTGTAAAAGGATGGACTTGGAGGAGATTATTTCTAATTTCCTTCTCTGTCTTTAATATACTGTGAGTATAAGGATATTTAGAATGCATATTTCCATAGGGAGAATATTAGAATGAATATTAGGTTGCTATATTAATTCACTCAAAATATAGTTCAAATAGAACATTATTCAACTTGTTTGATGGCAGTCTATAATATAGTTCGTAATATAACAGAGTTCTGAAGTGACTCTTGCCCTCTTCTTTACCCCATCCTACAGTAGCTTGGGGGAAAAAGGGGCTCTGTTAATGAGTTAGGAAAATGTTCTGGGCATTAGTGAATCCACATTTGTATGCAAGCAGCTGAATCTGCCCAGCATCTAGACCAGTGCTGTCCGGTAGGGTAGCTATGAGTTGTATTTAGCTATTTAAATTTGAATTCGTTTAATAAAATAAAAATATTCAGTTTTTCATTTAACTAGCCACATTTCAAGTGCTCAGCAGCCACATGTGACTAGTCACTACTCAATAGAACATAGCAGATACAGAAAATAATTACAGAAAGTTCTGCTGGGCAGAAGTGATCTAGAAGTTGACCTACCCATGCCTACCTTTTACTTCAGTGAAGGCAGCACATTGTATTTCATGTTAATCACGTTTTGCAGTTCTCTTGTGAGGACCAGTCACTCTAAATTGATGAGTCAGTTTATAGTTGCTATACCACATTGAACCAAAATTTTTCTTGATCATAGTTCATAGGCAATTTTTGATAACTTCTAATGCTTGGTAGTAGTGTCTTAAGATGAAAACAGAGATGTGTAAAAATAACTTTGAAACACTGCCTTGTAGGCAGCTGAAATATTACTACAACATGGAGCAGACCCTAATAAAAAGAATAAAAAACAGAAGACTGCTTTTGATGAAGCAGATGATGACAGAATGAAAGAGCTGCTAAAATCTTATGGTGCTATTGAGACTAATAATAGAGATGAGAGCAATGCTACAGTCAGTGGTATGTATGTCAATATTGCTTGCTATTTTAAACAGGTATGTACTTATGTTTAGAAAAATAAAATCTTCACATTTGCAATATAAGTTGTTTCATAACTGGGCATACATGTTTCCTATATTTATTAAACTCTTGAAAATTCATTGTTTTTAGAAATTAGCATTTTCAAATTTGGTTTAATTTATAATCTATTAACTTTTTTCTTTTCCTTCCTCCCTTCTTCCCTCCCTCTTCTTTCTCTCTCTCTCTCTCTGTGTCTCTCTGTTTCTTTATTTCTTTTCCACGGTACTGGGGATCAAACCCAGGGCCTAATGTATGCTAGACAAGTGCTTTACCACTTCACTATATCCCCAACCCCATATGATCCTATTGGATTAAAATTACATGTTATAATGAAACTTCTATCATTCATTAACCAAACATTAATTGAGAAAGAGACATAACTGAAACTGGGGAGATTAGTTTACTTATAGTAAGACTTCATTATGCTGAAGTCTTTGCAACTAAGATTTATTTCTTCAAAACTTGCAATGATTCCTACATTGGTTAGATTCATGCCTACTTTTCAAGAATCTAATATTCTAATGATATACTTGTGTGTGTGTAATACATATTATAGTGAAAAGAATGATTAAAGTGAATGTATAACCAGGCAAAATTTTGTGAATCAATTTTTAGCAATGTTTTACACTTTATTAAATGCTGAAGAGAGGAAATTGTTCTTCCTTTTCCCCCATGCTTGAGCCTTGACACGTAGAAGGAGAAACTCAGGACATACTACTTTTGCTATGAAGAGAATGCTAGTGTGACCCCTGTCACACGCTTCTCTAGTCTTCCTCCCTCCTCACCAACCATTGATTTTCAAGGAAGTTATAATTATTGATATGATTAGTCAGAACCAAGAATATTCACTGTGTAATAGGTCAAGGTCAAGACTGCTAAAAGTCTTCTCTTTCTATTGCCTGCCACCATACAGTAAGTCTATATGGTCAGGGCTTTTCTTAGAGCCTCCAACATCTCTCTCTTCCTCTCTTACAGCCATACCTGAAGGTTCAGTTCCCCTGATTTAGCTGAGCACAGCATACCAGAGAAATACTGCACTTGGAATTCTGTCATAAAGTGCCACATTTATTCACATAAGTCTTGTTGTTTCTTATGTGTACACTTTCTTGATCAGATACCTCCAGAGGGATGAGGGTATAAGGAAAAAGGTAATATGGATAAAGGGAATCCATAAGGGAAGAAGGGTCCAAGAGGATCTTCAGAAGCAATGAAATCTACAGTCATATGATTAAGAGTACAGACATGGAGTCAGATAAGATCTAGTTTCAATACTAGCCATGTGACTGACAGTGGACAACTTCCTAAATTTATCTGAAGCTTCAGGGAGTTCATATGAAGATTAAATAAGATGATTCACAGAAAGTGTTTTCATTCTAGCGTATGGTAAGATGCTCAGTAAATGATATCTGTAATTAGTCAATGGAAATATTAAGATACTACTTAACATTAAGACATATTAATTGTAGAGTAATTTGTCCTTCCCAGCCCTATCACCATTAAAACAAAGCTAAATTTTGAACATTCTTTTTTCTAACTTCATTTTTTTAAAGTAAAGATTCCTGCTATTCACAAAACGGTATAAACAGTAATTTTTGTGATAATGACAAAACTGTTGACCCACCTATCTTCACACCAAACAAAAAGAAGAGAAAGCCTTGCTGTGGTGAGTGAAATTGAAATTCTTTTCATTCTTCAGCCTAGAAAATGGCATTCTTTGGTCCAGCCAACTGTGGCTATTGACAGCATTCTTATCCATTTCAAGGATACACAGTTGAAAATGTGTTCAGTTGCTTATTTTTTCAAAAAATAAGGTAGCATAATTGAACAGAATAAGCTAAGAAGATGTGTTCTATGGTTAACTCTCAGTTATCTGCTTGAATACAGGAGAGTGGATTAGCTGCTGTTCTTCACACCTAGCATGAATTATTTGTCTACTTTTTATTCCACAAACACTGCCACTGTTATAGTGTTTGTGAGTTTTTACTCACTCACTCCCCAAACTGTCTAAGATATATAGTGCATAGAAAAAACTCTGAATAGAAAAAAAGGAAAGGTACCTAGTTTATAGTGATAGAGTTTGCTGTAAAACCCATCAAATAAAAAGGAGATATTTGCAAAATGGCCTTGCAGTTGCTCAGTAAATACATATTTGATACAGCTTGACAAAAACAAAGTTTATTAAACACAGACTTAAGCAGTGGATCATCCTTAATAAAATATTATTTTTAATAAATAT